GAAAGTGGGAGTGTGATGCAGAATATTTGTTGCATTGCGTAATCCTAAAAAAGAATATGGCCAGACCTCTTTCACGGATCAATAGGAATATGAATGGATGCAATTCAAATGACCGCTCTGTACATGCTTTTAAGACTGAGAACTTTCAGAATGGGAGAAAAAAGTCAAGGGTATTATAAAAGATGAGATTAAGTCCACAGTCTAATTAATTGTCCGTAAAGTCTCCAGAGCGCACATTCCCCTAATTACCCTTCTCAACAAAATATATAGTCACGTTTTTCTGACATATTCAACTCTTCCATGAATAGACATATATGGCATATATTGAGTCATGTTTTTGTTATGTTCATTCATTTTATTCCTAACAGGCCACTAAGGACCTTTAAAGATTTGATTTAGTGACTCTAACACTTGAAAATATTTTCTCTAAAGAAGAAACGATCTGATTCCATCCCTGGCTTTCAGAAACTTCCTCAGTCAAGAGGGGTTTGTGGATCATATCCAAGTCGGTATTCTTCTAATGATTCCTCTTATGTTTGACTGTAGCTGGATGTCAAATCAAGTGCAACCCTTGAAATTCTGAATTTAAATCTGAGCCAGGTTAAGCGAAGCTGGGATTTCGACTTCAGGTAGAGAAGAAAATATGTGGTCAGATTCGTTTTCCTTTTTGTATTTCCTCACACAGCTCATCCCAGAATGAGACTGTGCAGTTGTGTAAGCTCACAGAAAACACCACAGTTGTGCTGATTAAAGATGATGAATCACTTTATGCAGCCAGCTTTTGAAAGTGCAGCGGAGAGGAATACAATCGAAAATAACCTTTTGTTTCACCTAAACACGAGCAACAACGAAAAAGCAACTCCAGGCGGGAAGTGAGACACAATCAGTCATCATAAATGAGCAGAAAAGTGGAGAGGCTGAAACTACTTTTCAGGTTCCTCAGCACTAAAACATTGTCAGCTTTGAAAGTGGAGAGCAGCAGTGTTGACAGTGCGGAGAGAAAAGGCCCATCAGAGATTCCACTGAGTCAGACGACTACGCCACGTTTGAAGCATCTCTGGCATCTGTGACCTATTTCTGCAGCAGCAGGAGTGATCAAAAATGTTAGAACAAATGTTATTGCTTTCTTTTGCCTCCCTGCGGTTTGGGTCTTTCTGAGTCTTGACTTCCTGCGAGAGGAAATGTTCGCCCATCCTGCAAAGCCATTACAAACCATGCAGAGTGTGTCGGTGGACCGCATGCAGACAGAGTGATGCCTCCAGGATCCCACAGCTCCACCACATCCCTGAAGTTAATGTAGTAATGTATCCAGGGGAAAGTTTATGACGTTTGTACTTGTTAAAATTATGCAATTAGAAGCTGTAAAATGGACTCGAGTATAAAAATGAGAACCTGCTTGATAGAAAATCAGTCAGTGTCACTGTTTAAAATCCTAGTTAGACCGACAGTGAGCGATCGTCACCCTAGTTTTTGCAGTGTGTCCAGCCCTGTTGCTAGTCGGGGCTGGACTTGTCGGCCCCTGTCTGCCTTTTTTGGCCGATTCGACATGCCGATTCGGTCAGTGTCGGCGCAGTTGGTGAGAGGAATTCCTCTGATTGGCTGTTCGGATGTTTCATTTGACTCCAGCTCTCGACACAGGTTTGGGAAAGGCCCTTGAGCCTGCCGCTGTAGTATCCATGCTTTCACCAGCAGTTCCATTTTCAACTTTTTAGCAGACATTATTCTCGATTAGAAGTACCTATAGTGGTGACTATAGACTGTAAATATTACAGCGTTGTGAAAAAGTATGTGGTGGTTGACCGTCGGCTATAGTCTTTGCGGTGTGTTCGAGTGCAACTTTTTGGCCAAGACAAAAGCGTTGTGAGGCGAGAGACAATGCCACAGTCGGTCTTCATCACCACTTTGCCATCTACTTGGTGAGTCAGAGCCTTTAGAAAAAATGTAATAATTGAGTTAGAATTTCTTTCCATTAAAAGTAGGGATTACATGCCTACTTTACTGGCTGAGAAAACTGTAAAACTGAAGATAACGTGTGAAAGACGTTGTCATTAAGCTGAAGGAAAAAGCTGTATCATAACTCAGAGGACTGAGCCAGAATGAGCAAAAAATAGTTACTCTTCTGATAAAAGACAAACAGTACCTCAAAAATTGAAAGCCGTAGTTGTATAAAACACCTTCCTTTACCTAGCCAACTGTCTTTGTGTGTTTTAGATCTTCACACAGAGAATCATTTCCAATTAAAGAACACTGAAATGCGTTTGGTGCAAGACACAAAGAGTATGGAACTGGAAAAGTAAGATACAAGATTAATCATAAGAATATCTCACCTGCTTTCTTTCTTCAATTTCACCCCTTAATGTATCCTGGGAAAGCATCTTTCATTCATAGTCTGCTTCAAAATCTTCTTTTAATAAAAAAAAAAACACAAACCTGAGGAGGAAAGTTCATTTCCTCTAAAATGCCGTCTGGTTGTTATTTTAGTCTTGTTGGTGTTGAAACATCATTTTGCATGTGACCTGGGGTCAGGGCTTTAATCACTCCGCTTGTGTGTCTGATTACATTATGCAAAGTATTAACAGACAGTGAGCAGAAACACTAAAACACTCTGTTGATGATTTAACTTCTGAACTCTGTCAAAAGGGATTTTAAGAAGGTGCATTTTTGTATTTTTTAAAATAGTTTTTCATATTAAGCCTGTTTACAGTTTAAATGCTGGGATGCTGCTTACATAAAGTAGAATGTAATGAAGGTGACTTTCTTGTTCACCTAGTCTTTATTTCTTCACCTTTTATACAGAGATTCTTGAAACAGTCTTGTTAAAAAAGCTCCTCGCTTTGTCTTTTACAGTGAAGCAGACATCGCTGTCATACTGCTGTCCTAGCGTGTGGAGCTAAAGGTACACACAGAAGTCATTTGGCCTCTGTTAAACATCTGTTACCCCAGCTGCCTGATAAAGGCAGAACAACGTCGCCCACCATTTAGCCTCTGTAAATATGAAACAAAATGTAGCGCTGCAGACTCACCTTGAACATGCTGTGTTACAGGGGCTATTGTGTTATTGATCTGTCAGCTGCCTTTAACACAGTGAACCAACAAATCCTCCTCCCGGTTGCTGCTCTCATCAAGTTTAAAACACTGTTACTCACTTACTAAACAGCTACAAAACAACTCCTGCCTACCTGAACTCTACCTGATGATATTTATGATAATGATATTGGATTTTCTGGTTTAAGATTTTCAGTTGTTGTTTTTCGTCAGAACAACCGCCTTACGCCACATGCTGGAAAATGTAATTCCTCTTCCAATAATACTGGGATTGACAAGACAGGAATCTAGATTTTACTTGAGACTTACTGAACAGTTGCCTCAAAATACTAGCTTTTGGCAACCCCTCCATACTGTCCAAACTTACTACTTCAGCTGTTTCTACTAAACAAACCTCTGCACTAAATTAGTCTTTAGTTAGGACTGTTGCTTTGTCAATTTTAGAGCTTCACTTAGAGTGATCACCTAAAAGTCAAAGAATAAGCCATGAGAACCTTGTTGGCTGATGTGTTAAATGAGTCCATTTTATCTTTCTTGCCGTGTGGCCTTGTCAGTGTTTCTCTGTGGCCTCTGCACTGACACTTCCATGGAGGCAATGCAGAAGTTTAATTCATGTCGGGGCGGCTTTTTGTTCTCTCTGTTGTGCGTCTTAACATGGCCTTCAAGTGAAAAAAAATTAAAAAGCTTTATTAAGCAAGACAAGATGTTGTGTCAATACTCACAGAAGACTAGCAGCTTTTCTGAGAGAAACAAATGAAGTCTAAGCTTTTTTTAAACAACAAGAAACGCACAAATACCACTATTGTTTCAAAATTGAAACATTCTGGACTTTTTCCGCCGATGTTTGATTCTTTTGGTCCTTTATTAGTGCCGTCTCTCGGTAAAATATTCACACAGGCCACCAGCAATAATCTAACAACACAATTTTCCTTCTGTCTACCTGGAGGCTCTTTTGATACATAAATCATTTTAAAGTTATTTTTGTTGGAAAATATCATAAATCTTTCAGCAGAGTTTGTTTCCCGTTAAGCCCCGTAGAGAGTGACAGCAGCCATAATGGCTCATTAATGGACGAGCTTTGTGTCTTTGCTGCTGATGAGGTACACAGCAAACCACCGCTGAGGTTTTCTCAACATGTTTCTGAGTAGTTTCTGCGGTTGAAGAGCAGGGAGCAAACCATAATGCGCAGCCGCTGGTGCACAGACGAGTCTATTAACTCATTCACCGTAAAGTGCCGGCCTGAGTCGAAGCATCCGTCAACCTTTCTGCAAAAGCGTGCGGAGGAAAAGACTCACGTAGACGATAAGAAGCTGTGTTCAGGGCCAAAAGTCACATTCCCACGTTTGAAACTAATCTCACACAGTCAAGTTTTAATGTCAGAAGGTTTCTCGTTGGTTTTTAAAGGTCACCGAAGCAAATTACTGAGAACCATTGATTCGGTTATAAAGTGAACTTGGCTTGTCACACTCGCTGCATTTGATGCTTTTATGCCCCTAAGACACACACTTTAAATGCACGCACACACTCAGACACACACTCAGACAGATGGAAATATTGTACGTACATATAAAGCACACACACACAGCCCCAGGTGCCGAACATGTTGAGTTTTGACGCTATTTTAGTCATTGAACATGATGGTCCCAGCTGTCTGAGGGGCTTCGGGAGGCACACAGACACACACACACACATACACAAACACACACGCAAGGTCTCAGTCCCAAAGCATCTGATCATCACAGGGAACGTGTGTGAGTTCACTGTTTTCTATTTTTACCTTTTTTTTTTTCTGTTTAAAAAGTGAGTCAATATTCTCTGAATTTACTTATTCAGTCTTTCTGCATTTTCATGGATCTACTTTTTATCTGTTTATCAAGGACATGTTTGAAGGGGAGTCATTTTCAGGTGATGCTTTCTCTTTAGATGAAACACAATGACAACATAACACAGGGATGTTTAGTCTAATGATTTATTTTCATTTTCAGAGTGATTTACTTTTCTCCATGGATTTCATTGATCTATTGTATTGGTAGGGATAACATCTGCGGTTATGAGTCTGCTCGAATTAGATTACACTAAAATAATTTGCTAATTATTTGTTCACCAGATCCTTAAGACATTTCTTTGACAAAACTGCTTCCTGAAGTAACTCAAACATGGTGTTTTATACCATTAATTGATCACAAGGACTTTTAAAGAACACACCGTATGTACAACAGCTTTACAAGAGGACAAACAAAGTAGAGTTCATTTACTCGCTAAAATAGCATCAGAGTACATGATACAAAAACTTTGCCTCATTCAATTGAGACTGCTCTACAAAAATACATCTAATAACGGCTTCTGTTCTTCTCTAATTTAAACAGTTTGATCACAATAATAAATAAAACCTATGTCTTAGAGAACATATGGTAACAAACCCCTCGAGGTACAGGGAGAGATTGAGCGCACAGTCATGCTGGCTAAATAAGATTCTTGTGATTTCTTGCACTCAGAGCCATAAGTAGGAGAATCATTTGTAGGTTTTATGTTGCTAACTCTGTTCAGGATCACCTTAAGAAGCATTTCAGCCTGGGGCCCACAGTGTAACTATGTCGTCATGACAAACAGAGCGGCCAGAGCCGCAGCAGAAAAACTGTAATGTTGAAACACTGTGTGTTCGAGCCTATGGCATCAATAAAAACCAAAATAATTTACAGTGCTCGTCTGAAATCCAAGTGAGAATAAGGATGTGGATCCACCCACTATATCAGCATCTTGAAGACCGTTTTTCATGCATATATTTTTTTATGTTTTGGTTTGTTTTTCATCGCCTTCTGCACCAGGATAATCTATAGTCACTGAGATGGATCAGCGCTGCCTGCTATGCCCCAAAGCCATCGCAGCCAGATGTTCAACTTCAGAAGCGGGAGAGAAAACAGAGGAGAAAAACAAATGAGCGGGTAAGTGTGGGAGTCACTCTGCTCTTCCCTCGTTGTTTCTCCTGCCAGTCACACCACTAAAAGCTCGCCGAACACTACAAGATTCCGAGGTACTGTCACGTTTTATAAAAACTCAAGTATTTCTGCTGCATTTACTATACTTATTATACTTTTCTGCTGCATTTCCCAAAAAGGTAGCATTAAAACCCAACTGAGGACAATTTTGAACTGAACAGAAGTTTGATCCACACTTTATCCTATGTACTTTTGTCCTAACCCTGAGCTTTAAAGATGAAGTCCAACCAGTAAAAATGCTCAGATATAAAGGAACTACTAAGAATGAGCCATTTTATATTCAAACATGCGATGTCTGCTGCTTCAGATTTGAATAAACTCTCTGTATTTGACCGTTTACAGCCCTATTGAAGCAGTGTGTTCCACATGGCATGCTGAATCACTCGCCGGTTGGGCTTTGGCCTTAGTTTCCATGGATGAGTCACTGAATGTAAAGTTATCCTCATTGGGGTATTTTTAGTACAGTGGAGTGAGATTGGCAGAAAATCAACAGCCTGATATGTCAAGAGTAAAGGTTAGACGCTGCCGTCAGTCCCTCAAAAGAGCAAAAGATTTATTTCTAAACTTAAAATGTTGCCCTGTCGTGCAACAGTCACACCAGAGGAAGAGGCTGAGCTACAGTTCATACACTAATGACAGCATCAGAAGGTGTGTTTGCTGAGATAAGACGATCTTTCTTCCACTTAAACTTACTGATGGGGCAGGTGACATAATAGAAAGATGAAGAGGGTCTTTGTAGAATGGCGATGTGGTCTATGGATGCTTCAAGTGGGCTCTAGCGTCTAGGGCTAAAAGGCAAGCTAATGTGTAGAAGTGCCTTAATTATACATTCATAGTAGGGTTAAGCAGAGCACACTCCGCTGGTTGATGAAATAATGATAGTTCTTGATTCTTCTAAAGCCAATGAGGAAGTGCAAAAAACTGCAGTTCAAGTGTCCACTTGAAGTCCCAAACACACCCCATATTAAAATGTCTATTTTGACAGCAGAAATAAAAATGTTTACAGCCGGGTACAAAAAAAACATTTTGGTCTGAATAGCCAATGTCTTTATTGGCACACACGTAGAGTTATTCATAATAAGTGGCGTGTCTGATTGACTGTTGGGCTTGTTGTAGCTGTTTGTCAGGAGGCTTCAGAAATCAATAGACGACTTCACTGAGAATAGGTCCATGTTTTATACAGCCTATTGAGGCGATGCAGGATACTTGTGAATATGATTAAATTTGCCATTTTCGGCACATTAAATATGTCTTTGTTCATTGAAGTGAAGTCAGTCAATTTTTGTGTGCGGGAGGCATGACCGTTACAGGTCTGTAGTTCTCTAGCACAGAAAAAGATGCATTCTCACTCACAACTTTCCAAACTTGTTCTTCATTAATGCTTCATTATGAAGTTAGCAATAGTACAATGAATGCAGTTGAATGATACAGTTTAACTGTTGGTGACCTTCCAAATGCGAGTCAGTTTTACCCCGTCATGGCAACACTCATAAACATGAGGTTATCTTTGGGAAACGGTGGCATTGATTTATTTATTGATGGACATTTTAATTCTAACTCATACGTAATGGTCTTATCTCACACTGCTTTTAAAACGTCATTTGTTGACTACTGTCTGTTTTATAGCAAATATCATGGGTGAAAGAAGTTACAGAAAAGCAGGTCGTCAGCTCTTGGTAACTTTCTGCTGAGAGCAACATGTCGCCGTTGAAAGTCATTCACAGGAAATGAAGGAAATCACAAAACTGAAGTAGGAGCCTCTTAAGAGAAAAAGTGGAAATTTAACCAAGATAGAAAAACTGAATATCTTATCATAGAATGAAGATTCCTGAGGGTGTACAATGATTGATTTGTCCTTTAAAGTTACAGACCACGGATTAAATTTCCAAAAAGGTTTAAATCGAGCATGGCGCTTGTTGAAAATGCAAAGCAGAAGCAGCGACTGATTTGTTCCGAATGAAACGAGCCCAGCTGTGTGTCCCCACCCTGATTTCTCTGGCTGCACACCTGAGGCTCATTTGAGCAGGATTGCAACTGATGAAGATAATTAGCCATCGTTTTTCCTGATGTGTGAATCAGTGCTTGGAGAGGTTTGACAGGTGATGAAGTTACCAGGGGTTAGGCCTTGAGAAAAACATGGCGTTATTTTTACTCAGGTCTAAGGAAATTATTTTCCCTTGCATTTCAGACGAGCAGATGTGCAGAAAAAAAAAACTGCTGTCACCAGATGACTATGAACTCCTTTCTTTGCTTATTTTATTTCTTTAAAACAACATCTGTAAGGGCATGACTGCAGGATGGGGCGGGGGATACAAAGATGGGTGGTGACTTTGCAAGGGGTGAAACGCTGTTGCAAGTGGATACGGATGAGGGGCGTCCAAGAGAGGCATAGGGGATGAGGCGTAGAAAGAAGGAGGAAGAGGTGGCGGAGGCGCAGGGTTTGGATTAAGAGCTAAAGGCGAGAGATGCGGCGAGAAAGAAGGGAGAAAATGGGGGTAGGATGGGACAGTTGGGTGCGAAGAAGGAGGGAGGAGGGAGAGGTGATGCTGGATGATCGTTTGATGGAGGGAGAACGAGGAGGAGGAGGAGGAGGAGAGGGCAGGCTGGAGGAGGAGAGGACTATAGAACGGGATGCAGTGTGGAGGGAGGGTGTGAGGAAAGCGAGGCCTCTTTTCTGCATGAAGATGCTCAAAACCCATCTCCTTCCTTCTCTCCCTATTTTCCTTTTCCTTTCTCCTCACCCACTCTTTCTCCCACTCTTCTTGCTTCTCCTTCACCCTTTTTATCTCCATCTGTTTCAGTTCCTCCTCCTTTTTCACCCTTTCAAGATCTCTTACTTCCTCTTTCTGCTCCTTAAGTATGCTCATAGGTGCCGGAGTGTTACTCGCACTTCTTGCGATACTCACACCAACACCATTCAACCCACAACGGTTACAATCAACAACATGATTATTGTGGAAATGATTACACTGACCATTGTCAATAGCATCACAGTGATTTCCGTTGCTTTGATCAATACTCCTTTTGTGATCAGTTTCTGAATCAGAGAGGTTGTGACTCTGCAGTTTGGCTTTATCCACTTCAATGGAGCCATTTTTGGAATTTGTTTCGTCTGAATGATTACTGGCATTAGAGTCAATGGACATGGTTTTGAATTGACAATGGTCAGTATGTGTATCATCAGTGCTACAGGTAAACAGGTCTTTTGGTAGTAAATCCACAGGTGCGTTCATAATGAATTCATCTCTTTTTTTGGCTGAGTGCAGTTTGTTCAGAAGAGGGGTTGGATGATCCTTGGAATTAGTCTCTGTACCATTACAGGGGGAATCGTGCGGGTCGTTTTTGTTGCAAGTATTGTCACAAGTAGCTCTAAACATGCCAAAGTCACCGAGGTTTTTATCCCTGTCATGGTTTTCATCACACTGCTTGCTGTCATTCGGCATGTTACAAGGGGTACAAACGCTGACATGTTTCTCATCGCAGCATTTCCTCTTTGCCTCGCCTCCAGGGGAGACCGGGCTTAATTGTCTGTGTTTATCAGCATTGCAGTTGCCATCTTCACTGTCATCACAGCAGCAGTTAGTACTCTGTACGTCAGTGGAGTCACAATTAAATGTTCCCTCTCCATTATTTGTTTTGTGACACCCGAAGTGTTTTGTCGTGTACAGGAAGTGGCAGTCAGTGTTTTTGTCAGTACTGTTGCCCTCTTGACTGCACACAGTTGCACAGCCACTGACACAGTTGTCCAAAAGTATTCCTGCTTGCCTACAAGAAGCCTGATCGATACCAGACACAGAAGTCAAAGAATCACAAGCTATTCCCTGTCTCTCGGCACAAGTCCTCAACATACATGTGAGTCCACTTGGTTGTCTCCTTCCCCTTTTTTGTTTCTTCGCCGGTGCTTCCCCAGCCTCCGGTACTTCTATCTTCCTTTTAGCTGTTACCGTCCTCTTCGACATCGCTTCCTTTGAATTGGGATCACCTGGGAGCGACATGTCTGCAGAGGCAGGTTCAATTCTCAGTTGTGTTTCTGTCTGTCGTGCAGAGCAGCTTGGGGCTGGGCCTAACACTGGATTGCTGTGTCCTGCAGGCAGTGTTTGCCTTTGACTACATGCAGTTTCTCTAAAGGGAGCAGGGACAAGGCTAATCGCTGTATCGCATGCTGGTTCCTTGTGAGGTGTATCAACAAGACAAATTTCAGGCTTGCATGCTGCTTCACGACAGGAAAAAGAAACACGGCTAATCACTAGGTTACACACGTTCTCTTTTGAATCCAGAACAGTTCTTATCTCTGTCTTCTCTGGATTCCTTTGCTCCTCATCTCTCTGCGATTCATCCTTCCCCACGTCTCTTTTTCTGTTCATCTCCCCCGTCTCTCTGTCATTCTGAACAGGGTCGGGTGTAATTGCAGGACAGCGTGGCATCTCTAAAACAGATCCAGGGATGGGGCTAATCACTGAGTTACATGCTGCCCCCCTGCTGAGGAGCTTTCTGAGCCCCTGGTCCCACCCCAAGGTTGATTGCTGGGATTGATGCTCGCTGGTCTCCCTTTTCACCTGTAGACACAGCTGGTTACACCGATTACACCGATTCACAGGAAGATTACTTAATAGCTCTCCTCTCTCTTCGTCATTTCTGCCTGCCCTCTCGTGCTCTGTCTGATCTCCTCTTATCCTTCTCTCATCTGCCCTCATCTTCTTTTCTCTCCCTCCTACCAGCCGATGCACTGCAAGATTACTTAATAGCCCCTTTTCTCTTCTCTCATCTTTTTCTGTGCCCTCTCTTTTCAACCTCTCTTCTGCTCTCCCCTCAAACATTTGATTCTCAGAAAGACTAGTTATTGTCCTTTTCACTCTCTCTGAGTCCTTTCTATCTTTCCCTTCTCCTCTTTTCCTTCTCCCCCTTTTTCTTATTCCTCTCCTTGCCCCTCCCCTTCTTCTCCTCCTCCTCTTCCTCACTGTTTTTTGAAGGCCTAGTGTTGGTGCGAGCTGGCATTCTGAGGAAATGGGAACAAGTTTTAAAGCATTTTCATCACGGTAGTTGATGTTTTCTGGAACTGTGCCGACACTGTTATAACCAGCAACAAGTTCCACAGGATTTCCTGCCTGTCTTCCTTCATCCTCATCTTCCCTTTCATCTATCTTCCCTTCTCTTACTCCCTCCATTACTTCCTGACTTTGTTGGTTGCTGGTTTGTTTGATCCCAGGTGGCTTTGTTCTCTCCATCCTTTCCTCCAGCACTTCTTTCTTTTCCTCACCCCTTCCTTGGTCCTGTTAAGTGCTCTAAAGTCATACAATAGCGGGTTGATGCTGTAGGAGATGGAGGGCGAAGTCTTGGTGTAACTGACCATCTCTGACGGCCAGAGAAGAACCCTGGTACCATCTCGGCTTAGCACAGGACAAAATGGCTCTTTGGGACGACTTGGAGTCAAAGAAATTGAATCTTTGTCCCAGTTTGATGTAGAGGAATTGGTATCTTTGGGCTGTGTTTGGATTGAAGACTCTTTGGTCTCATTCAAAAGAGAAATGGATTTTTGAGGCTGATTAGTTGAAGGGCAAAGCAAATCCCTCAGTCCATGGGTGGGGTTCATCTCAGTCCCATTCTTCACATCGTGATCCATTTTTGTCTTAATGCCTCTGGATACCGAATTTTCAGTCACAACTGTGCTCACAATATCAGAAACCTGTCCTGATATCCCACTGTTTAAATAAAGATGAGATCCAGTCCTACTTTCAAGGCCGACTTGGTCTCCAGTCCCATTGTCATTACATAAGGAGAACTGGGCTCTGTTCCCACTCATAACAGAGTCTCCAACTCTGATCACACTGGAATTACATAAAGAAACCGGGGCTCTAGTCCGAGAGACTGCTTCAGTTCCACTCTCAGTAGATATACTGGCTCCAGTCTCAGAGTGTTGGACCGCCATTTTACTGTCCACACTGCAATGGTTTCCAGTGTCCCACTGATTCACACCTAAATTGGCAACATTTGCAGGTACTGGAGATTTGAGCCGCTGATGATCAACTTTCTTCTCCAAATCTTTGGCTTGTTCTTGTGCCTTAAACCCCCCCTGCTTCCCCGACAGGTCAGAGCTTCGCCCAGCTTGGATGAAGACGGCAGCTGATTGATGGAGCAGGACGCAGCTCCTTTTGGGCAGTGAGAAGGATACAGGACGGACTCTGCTAAGGACGGACTTGATGCCTCCTTCTGGTCCACACACTGCTTTGCTACTTGTAACATTAATATCGGTAGTGTTTGTAATGGCAGCTGTGGTGGTTTGGACTTTGTTGCTGAAGTTGGTGACATTGGCTGTGTTAAAAATGGAGCCATTAATGGCAGCCTCAGTGGCAGTTGAACGGATGTTATTGGGAGTAATGGGGTTGCTTAAATAAGTATGAGCCCAAGGGATCTTGTTAAACTGGTGGCTTTTGTTAGAAGTGTAGAAGTTTGTTGTCTTATCAGTGTTCATGATGTTGTCACTGTTGCTATTGGAAGTAATAGCTGCTGCTGTCAGGTCTTTGTAGTCCATTTGGGTCTTTTTGAGGATGCAAGACTCGGCAGCAGTGGTAGCAGTGTTGTTGGCATCCATTTGGCCATACCCCCATTGTGTGTTGCTCAGGAGTCTGGTTTCCAGTGCAGGGTCCAAGGGAAGGAAAGGCTGGATCAGTTGAGTTTGAGAGTCTAAAGGAGGAGGAGAGAGCAATGAAAGGATTACACCAGATGACACTGGTTACATTTACATGCAAAACTTAACAGGATTATGTGCCTAACCTGACTCTAAAGCAAGGAGTATGAAAGCATACATGTTAAAGAATAGCTCTCATCTTCCAGACTCTCCATACAGGAAGCTGCTTATGCATTTATTCAGCTTGCTCGCTCTTTACCATTAATCTTTTGTGCTTTTAACGTATCTGAATATGATTTATGGGTGTAGGATGCACTTGAGTAAAACATAAGCACTGAGATGATTGTGTGGTACACTTACAAAGAAAGACACTTAAATTAAGGAATTTATTTTTATAACATGAAACATCAATATTTCTATATCCATCTTAAGCTAAATGTGCTGCCAGACATTCGTCTGTCTATACATCAGCAAGGCAGATGATTCAGACAATTATTCCTTGAGTAAAAAATTTAAGATGACTCATTGTGAAATAATGAAAAAAGTTTTCATTATGTGCCTTCTTCTGTCACACCAGCAACTCCATTTTGGTTAATATGTGAGTTTGAGAGGGACACTTGCAAATGTATTCTTACTCTTCCAGCACTAAATGTGAAAATACATTGAGCACTTGGGGATTGTTGATTTTGAATGCAGCTGACAAACTTTTTCTTTCACTTTAACTTTGAAATGAGAACAGAAAACCTTACTGAATAGTGAGGGATGTATTCTCAGAAAGATAGGGCTGATAGTTGATTGTTTCTTTAAAACCCATATAATTGCTGCTGCCAGATTTCTTGTTCAAAAGGAATCCATCTTGCACCCTAAAATACTCTTGAGATGAACTAGATGGAGCTGTTATCACCTCCTAGATTAGAACGAATTCAGACTAAAAGACAAATATAACTGGAGGAGTTTACTCTTAACTCAAGTGTTTGTAAAAAAGTGAGATTATTATGCTCAAATTTTGTAGCTGAACACCAAAAATAATCGAATGCAGTGTGAAATCCCTTAAATAAACATGTTCTTAATGTTTAGTTCCTGTTGAAACCCCTTTAAATGGAAACTTTTAACAATAAAACAGCTATACACTTCTTGTGAACAATAAAAAATTCAAATTCACACACCCAGCCACAGCAACTTATGCTTGTTGATATATCTTCATGAACATTTTGAGGCCTCATGTTGTGGCACGATTGACCTGCACTGATAAATAAAGAAATGCTCCCAATATAAGGCCGACTGCACTGATATAAAAAGGGGTTGAGAGCAAACTGATTGCATTAGTATAGCTTAATATAGCTATATGAAGCATGTCCATAGTTTGAAAACTAATGTATCCTGTATGTCAGGAATAATGAATGAAATAAATAAATACAAATAGTTCAGTGATATTGTGCATGAACTCTGCGATTTAAAAAAAGCTGTTAGAAGAGGAAGTGGTAAAGCAAGTTTTTGGGCAAATCCTTGTGAAATAGAAAACGTTGGATGCTCTTAATGTACAGCCATGATCTTTTACACATTTGGTCATGTAACAGGGCAATAAATCGACAAGTTCATGAAAAGCAGTGTTGTGACAGATCTTGACAGCGTAGGCGAAAGTTGTCCTGTTTTCCTTAATTTATTCAAATTAAAGGACAACAGGACAGCTCACTGAAAGTGTCAAACATTTGTGAGCTACCCTACTAACCGGCTGCAGTATCAACATGTCTCAACAAATGAGACATGGCTCAAAACACACTGACATGCTGATTTATGTGTTTATTTTAATGAGAAGTTTAGTTTCAATTTGTTTTTGATGCTGTAAAAAAAAAAGGTATAATGCAATGATTGACAGCTCTATTGACAAATGCTGCTCCTGCGGCTCTGTGTGCACCGGATAAGCAAAAGAGTAACATTGAGAGGGGAACCTGAGAGATCTTTGTTGTTTTATTGGTAAGTTACATGTGTGGTAATGGATGGTGCAGGACTCTCATATTTCCACTCCACCAGCCTCCTTCATTTTTGTACAACAGGAGGAGTTAGAGACGTGTCGTCCATCTTCACATACAGTCAATGGATTAAATGTGTTTCTGTGAAGATAATCATTTGTAACTTTCTCTTCACTGAAGATGCTTGTCAGCTATGTCACATCCTACAGCAGCTATAGTATACAGGCCCTGTAACGTCTCCCCATATGGCTGGTGCAATGCAAGGAAGTGTTCATGTACCGTTAACTCCTTAATCATGCCTCTCTTTTCGTGGAGCACTTAACATAGATCTGGGTTATGCACCTCTGCTCTTTTTATCCTGGAATCTACAGCTCTGTATTACCTCAAAGGTCAGTCCTGTCAAGATTGTTTCCAATTGGGCAACAGCAGGAATATGTGGAAGAAAGTTCACCCAAGTTGAACAGTGCACTGATTTATTACAAATCAACTACATTGCTGCTCTTCTATTGAAATCATTTGGTTTCAGTCTGAATTCTGCCCAGTGTAACCGAGGCCCTAGAGCCAATTTTCATTTAGCGTATAATTGCCTTGTACATGTTCGTGTTGTTAAGTTGTTTACCACTTCTTCCCCAAACCATAACCTCTCATCCCCATGGATTTTATCTCATTTAGGCAAATCCTATGCAAAGATTTCAGAGCTGTTCATTTCGTCTCTTAAGTCTGCTGTGTGATGAAAATATTCCAGCATTACTGCAGCAGACCACACTCTGTTTAATCCCTCAATATCAAGAGTGATATCTCCATCAGCAAAACCAAACACACACTCATTAACTATTTAAGCAGCTCACTGCTTGCCTTTTTAGGCTGAAATGATTCTTACTTGTTCCCAGTGTGGAGCCGCTTGTATGGATGTCTGCCCAGTTCTGCATAAAGGCTGGTCTCATCTGGTTTGTTGGTTCGACTGCCACTGTGGTGGACCTGAACATGGGACCAGAACCTGGAGCACTGAGGAGAGGAGGAGAGAAAAGGGTGGGGGATGGGAGACCAAATTTAAGTGAGGAAGTAAGTAAGCAAAAAGGGAACAAAGACAGAAAGAGATGAGGTTAGGAGGAAACAACGACACAAGTAACGATGAAAAGGAAAGACCAAAGAGGAAAGGAAACAAGGATGAAATAAAAAAGGAAAGAAGTAAGGGATAAAAGAGATGGGTGTGGTTGGGTGCAGGAGGAAAACATTTTAACAGGTGCAAGGAGTGAAAAGGGAACCAAAAGGAAAGTAATAGAGTGAGGAGAGCCAAAGAAAGGAACCAAAGCAAATAAACAAAGTGAGGGAAGGGAAAAAAGGGGAAAGGGTTTAAGGAGAGGAGAGGAGAGGAGAAGAAGAAAAAAAGATAAGAAGACAAGCCGAAATGAGGAAAGAGGAGAAAAGGAAAGTGTGAAAATAAGAGAATGAAAGTGTTAAAGAAAGTAGTAAAGGAGAGGTGAAAATGAGGCAAAGTGGAAGTAAGAATTAATGGAAAAGAAGAGGGTATATATAGGAAGAAGTATAAAAGTGGGGATAAGGCTCATCGGTTGAAGGAAAGAAGGAGGTAAAGGGTAATGAGTAGAGCAGGAAACGTGTAGACAAGTAATGAGACACATAAGGACAAAAGTAAAGGCAGGTTAGAACATGGAGAGGAGAGAGAAACAATACAAAAAAGGAAGAAAAAAAAAAAATGACCAGCAATGGGGAGAGCAGGAGAGGACAAAGGGAGAGAGGAGAATTTTAAGCAAATGGATTCAGAGAAAAAGAAAAGGTGAAAGGAAACATGAGAAAGGGGAGCATAGGAAACAAGGAGACAGGCAGATAGAGGAGAGCAGAGCTGAAATCAATTTGTTCATGCGTTTCTCTCTCTCTCTCTCTCTCTCTCTCTCTCTCTCTGTCTGTCTCTCTGTCTCTCTTTCTCTTTGTGCCATGAGCCAAACTGCATTGTTACAAATCTGAAAATGGCGATGACAGCCGACACGATACACAAGTCTGTGTGTGTGTGTGTGTGTGTGTGTGTGTGTGTGTGCGTGCGTGTGCGTGTGCGCGTGTGTGTGTGTGTGTGTGTAGCGAGTGGGTTCAGCTGCTCAACGTGATTGGTCAGAAACACTTCATGACCTCACTGATTATCCACATTAAACACAGCAGGAAGCTTTTTATTGTTTGCCACGCTAACGCTCATGGTAACCTAGGTGCTCGTTTTCTTCTGTGTTATTTTCTCTCATGTTCAATTCTGTGAAAAAATATGTCAGTCAGCACATCGAGTGTTTTTTTTTTAAATATAGGTTGGACCAAAGTGTGCAGGCAGACCTACATTTAGACTCAAAGTTTCATGCACAAATTTAAAAGTCATGGATGTTTGATCACGTCTTCAGGGACTATTTTCTTGGCGGAGACTTGCGCTCTTTTTTCTTTTTGCGTGGGCGTCTACAGGTTTTGACTTGCAGCTCTGAGCTCAAATCTTGCATTCATGTGGTATCGTATTTTGGGAAAGCAAATTTCGTTTGGTAGGTCGCCAGATGAACTCTCTTCATAGAAATGAATTCCATAAAAAGAAGAACCCAAAATACATCGTCATCATCTTATTCTAGATCTTTGTTTGTTTATTGTTTGTCTAAAAGGTTTGTTTTGCTCTTCTTTCTAATTTATTTTCTATTCTTTTTTACTGTTTTTTTATAGGCAAACACATGAGCACAGAACTGTTTAGAAGCCCAATTTTGACTCCCAGACGACCAGAACATGAACATATAGCGGAAAAAAAAGTGATATAAAATTTCCATCATCTATAAAGTCACTTAAACAAACATATTCAAAATGTTTTCTTGTAGTTATCAGTATGAAATGTGCAATCTGATGTTCAAAACGTAACAGCAATGAGAGAGAAAACTACACAGAAAAAGTGATATTAAACACATCACATTAAACAGAATTCTGTATAGCGGTTTAAAACAATGTTGAAAGTGAATCCTGATCAAATGTGTGTAATAATGATGGCAAACATGGATGTTTACGGTGTATGTGAAAATAAATCAGTTTCACTTTCTCCCACCTCCAGGGTCTTGCTCCTGTAATTATTCTACAGCCTGAAGTTATTTTGTCCCTACACCACTATAAGGTCTACTCTGCATGCCGTAGGGCAGGGATCATCAACTACATTTTTACAGGGGCCAGCTTTTTTCATGAAAGACACTATGGGGGCCGGATTTTTCAAATATGCTTGCACATAGGCCTGACATCTGTCAAGCCTGATGTGAAGAAGTTGGTGCCAGAGGGTTCATGTAAATTCTCCCATTAACTTTTTTTTTAAAGATATTGTTGGGGTGGTTTTGGCCTTTATTGGATACAACCGCTGGAGAGAGACAGGGAGGAGAGAGCGGGAGATGACATGCAGCAAAGGGCCGAGGTCGGATTCGAACCCACGGCCGCTACGTCAAAGACTATAGCCTCTGTACATGGGGTGCACGATGTAACCACTAGGCTATCCCCTTCTCCTATTAACTTTAATGTAAGTATTTCAGCCTTGTGATATCATTTTTATGTTTTTATTTTTGAAAGATTTCTTTTTGGGCTTTTTGTGTCTTTAATGGAGAGACAGGACAGTGGATAGAGCTGGAAATGAGGGAGAGAGAGTAGGGAATGACATGTGGGAAAGGAGCTAGAGGCCGGATTCGAACCTAGGCTGCCCGCTTTGAGGACTACAGCCTCCATACATGGGGCGCGTGCACTAACCACAGCGCCACCAGTGCCCCAATTTTTATGTTTATAATTTATTTATAATTTATTTATATGTTTTCATCAGCCAAGATAATTTATATTCTGGGGGCCGGGTGTGGCCAGCGGACTGCCAGTTGATGGTCACTGCTGAAGAGGGTCAATGAGGATGTAGGGCCCTACAATGTTTACACCTGAACTGATGATACGAACACCGGGGCTTGCTAACTTGATGAGTGTGGTGAGGATGTTTTATCTAAGTTAAAAATAGCTGTGTTTTGTACAAGGCCGGTCGGGTAGAGTGGGTAGTTTCTAGCTGGAAAGTTGGTGTTGGAGCAAAGTGCCTGCAATCCACTGAACCCCAAATTGCTCCCAAGAGGCATAGCAAGCAGCGTATAAATGCAAGTGAATGGGATTAGATAATAGTGATGGGCACTTTACATGTCCTCTGCCATCAGTGTTTGAATGTGGTGAGACATGTAGTGTAAAATAACTTTTCAACATCAAATGATTTGCTACAATACTGAGCCTTTACACTGATAGGTTATTAGTACATTGGTTTTGTATTTTCTGTCCTCTTGTTAATGTAATAATGAGGAACACATAAGATACTTAACACTGGTGCTCTAACCTTTATTTGATATATGTCACTATAGGCTGTTAGGGATCTTGAGTAAACAAAGTGAACACAAGTTTCTGCCCTAGGTTGCATAAATTATCAATAAAAAGGACTCCGAAAGCTTCCACATTATATAACATTGCTGCGTTCCTTTGTAGTTTGTACGGTATATTCAGTTGCAGCGTATAGGTACGGTTCACTCACCACTCTCCTGTCCTCCTCTCCTCATCCTTGTGAAGCCTCCTGAGCGCTCTCTGCTCCCTCTTCTCCTCCCTGCGTCTCCTCTGCCTCCTGCAGGCCAGCGCTCTGTAAAACTCCCGCTGTTTCAGCTCCTTGAGGCGCTGAAGAACAAGCACACGGATTATAGCCGTCAGTGGTATGAAAATTAGAGGTTTGTGGAAAATAGTAGAAGCAGCAGTAGTGGTATTAGTAGATGTATTTTATTTTGACAGAGAGAATAACAAGGTCACAGTGTTAAGACTGTAAAAATGAGTTTGTCTGAATATGTTGATCAGGCAGAATTTAGTATGTATGTATGTATGTGTTAGTGTTGAAAGTTTATCTGTCTGTCAGCAATTATTTATCTGCACTCTGTGTAAGTAATATTGTGTGTGTGTGTGTGCGCGTGTGTATTTGCGTGCGTGTGTTTGTGTGTGTGCATGTGTGTTCTTTGCTATATATTTATGTGTGTTTACTAAGTCAGCCAGTGTCAGCTTTAGTACAGTCCAGACCAGCTTAATTCAGTTACTGAGCTCTGTCTGCAAGCTCAAGATACTGATATTGTGTGGGTGTGGATGTGTGTGTGTTTGTGTTGGTGGTGTAAAAAAAAAAAAACCATACCAGTGGGTTCCTATCACACACAGACACCAGCGAATAGATAGACGGACTAAAAAAGATGGACGGATAAAAAACAAAGGGAGGGGCAAGAAGATGGACGCAAGGCTTTTTTTAAGCTCGCAGGGTAGCATCAGCTTTTTAAACATGGCAAAGAAAAGGATATAAAAACCACAAACTAGTGCTTTGACAATAATCACAAATTTAAATCAAACCTTCATGAAACTGTCAGTGAAAACAGTGAGCGTCAGAAGCTTCAAAACATGCTAACTCTTTTTGCAATAACTACATCATTTGAATTTAAATGTATCAAAATGTGAAATGAATCAAGGAAAGCCTATTTGATTTTCCTTTTAAGTGCAAGTTGTTCTTTACATTGGGTCAAAGACACACTGAGACCATGTTCCATGAAACAGCTTTTTCTACGGCTATAAATGTGTGACCTTTCCACAGCGTCTTTAAAATGTCAAGGCATATGTTCCTTTAATGTTACACGCAGCCAATGAAAAGAAAGGTTTGATCGTATGACTTGGACATCATAGCCGAGCTGAGCACTTTACAATTTAAGATTACTAATCTTACCTTTCCTGAAGGCAGAGATTGATCTGCTGTTAAGATTGATTATTTTTTATTGGGAAATTAACCTAAAATGACTCTTCTAGCAGCTTTATTTGTGCAAGCAACTCAAGTTTAAAATCAGTTTGCTAATTTAATCTGAACGAAGCTCCAAAGTGAAGAGGTTTATTTGCACTTGTGTTGCTAATGGGACTCGTGCACCAGGTGAAAACCGCTAAACCTAAACAAGGACAATACCCGCTCTACACATTGATATACCCGACAGCCTTTTAGTATGAGCTTGGTGACATTTGGTATTTTAAAAGGCAGAGTTTTGAATTAACAGGGTTTTTAAGAATAAACAGCAAGGCAAAGAGAATTTGTAGACAAAGGGCAACTAATTAAATCTGATGTGGATACAAACACTCAACAAATTAATCTGAGAGCCGGCAAGTGAACCTCATACTCATTGTTTCCTTTTGGATCAGAAAGAGCCAAATCAAATGAACAGACCATGACACAACAAATGAGGTGTCACCATCCCGCTTCGTACAGATCTCACTGTATAAATTATATATTCAATTAGGAACACATTTCCCCTCTTGCAGCAGTAATAAAGGATAAACCGTGCATGCTTTTTCCCCCCAGTGTGAATCTTTGCATCCATCATAAGCAGCAGAGCATCGAGCGCGTTGACGGAGCCTCTCTGCAAACCGCTTAATTTTTTTTTTAAGATGATGGACCGTGACTGACCATGAACCAAAAGACGGGCAGCTTTGCTTGCTGTGTGTGCAGGCTCAAAAATATTACTGCTGGGAAATCCATTTCCTGCAAGTGTTGCAGTCTCGACACAATATGCCCTAAATGCTCTGCATCCTCAAGTAAACCTAATAACTCTGACGCACAGCTAACTGTGAAAATATTATGCCTCTCTCGTCGCTCGCAAATGAACAAATGATAATTGCAGTAAATACATTCCTCCCAGCACCTATAATTTTGTATACAGCTGCAAGTTCTCAGAGTCCCTTTCTCATCACATTATGGATCAACAAACTCTGTTTAATTTAGGCTGAAAATAAAAGTATGATGAGCAAAAACAGAAAGAATATCATAGAGATGTGACAAGTCTTTTCTATTTTTTAGATAATCAGAGTACATTATTGATAGCCTGTATGTTATTATCTAATACGTGCTATTGATTTGAACCTAGAACGATGCCTTAAAAAACCACTTGGTAGTAATGAGAGCAGTGTAATAAGATTTTCTGAAGGGATTAAATAGAGCTTTATAGATCTACTTATTTTAGGATTAGGACAGAGGAGACAATAAAGATAAATCTACATGGGTATGAGGATGCAGAAGAACAGCTAATCTTAAGATATTGAGTCAGAAATCATAAAAAAAACCAGACTGAATGTCTGTTTCTCTGCAAAGCCATCAAACTAAATAGCTGAGGAATCACATCTCTTCATCATATTGATGCAAAAATCCTTTACAAATCCAATATTACCATGTTGCAGTTCTGCTCATTGATTTGCAATGTTTCCCACAATGATAGCATTTGATAGCACTCCCAGGATTGTTAAATAAAAAGCTGATATTAATAAAAATCCAAGCCTCTCCCTAAAGTGAAACATGGCAAAGGATTGTATTAACTTTTTAATAGTTTTAATCTGTTGTCATCCTTCCCTTTCGCATCTCCCAATGCACAGTAAGTTAAAGACATTTACGAAATGGTTGCCTTAGGTAATGTTTTCATTTGTGTTAAAACTCTGCTATAATCGAGTCCTTTTTAATTACAAAGTCATTAATTACTTTATTCCTTTTGGGTATGTTTGTGTGATTAGGGGGTAGGTTCACATGGGGTTGGGTGTGAGAGTGATTGTTTAAAGCACTTTTATAGAGTGCATCAAATCTAGAGTCTTACTGACTGAGTTATATTTTACTCATTTCCTTATTCTGTTTTACAATTATTGCAAATCCAGGCGCAGACCAAGTCTGGTAGCTGGGGAAGTGACAGCACACTTCCTGAGCGCTGCTGAAGTACCCTTGAGCAAGGCCCCGAACACCCCCCCCCCATTGCTATTGCTTCCCATAGAAAGAGACAAGTTAAAGGCAACTAGCAGAGAAGTCTTCGATATGAAATAAAAATGTAAAACACTTTGACTCTCAGAGAAGTTCCTGAGTTACAAGTTGTGTTTAAGCTATTTTATTGCTATATTTTTAGCATAGTGGACTTCAGAGTCAATGGTGCCCATGGAAAGTCACACTAAATCTAAAAAATATGTGTAAACTCTCCAATAATGACTTCTGAGATTGCTGACAGAAATTGAAGTAGTAGGCTGCTAAGATTTGTTTGAGTGCAAGCTTATCCTGTGTTCCAAGGGTCCTCTGTTCATTAACATTTTAAGCCGTTTACGAGGGCTATCTTTGCTGGTCCAATCCAAAATAACTATAGTAGATAGATGTGTCAAAATCAGGTTAAAGAGTATAAATTGTATTCTCTTGACAAAATAATCAATGGAAGTTTTTTTTTATCGTGGCCATAAGAGCTGATATTGTTGTGTGTTCCTGTGATTGTGTCTACCACAGTTTGTGTATCAGAAACCAGAGCAGAGTGCTGGTTGTGGCCCTGGGATGAAATAAATCCGTGACCTTGGTTAGGGGGGTTTCATGTGTTGTGTGGCAGGATAAAGCAGACCCCTGGGTGCCTTGTTAGGGTGGTGTGACTCACCTGCTTGTGGTGGTGGTCGTAGGAGTTGATGTGGTTGTCGTACTGTTGGTGTCTCAAGTACTGCTTATTGCACAGTTCGCAGTAAAGGCTGGAGTCTCCCTCCTCCTGTAGATGGATGGATGGGTAGGAAAAAAAAGGACAAAAGGAAGAGAAATGTGTTAGGGTCAGAATAGGAGATCTCACTTTTTGTGTTGAGCGTCTTTGTGGTGATCTTGAGAATGATTGTATCATTAATAAGATAAATGGCTCTTCATTTTCACCCAGAATTTATTTAACAAGATCAGTTTTTACTCATTTCTTATGTCCTCAAGCCCTTTGTAGGTTTTATTTTTGAGCTGGAAAAGGGTTCTGTAGAAAAACTGCAAGCTGAAATGAAATGAGGAGAAAGTGTCTGATGAAGTTTTCATATACCAAATTGAAAACCTGTAGCTCTTAGAATCTGCCCAATATGTATTTTCTAGACCATAATAGTCGAGTAAACAAATGTCTCTGTCGAAACTAAAATGTTCTTGTAAAAGTCACCAGTCTCATTCAGCCGTAAACACACACTTGAATTTCATTGCTATCATCAGACTAGGTCATGCTTGTTTTATGACATGCTCTGATGTGACACAACAATAATATTTTTATCATGATGTATGTATTTTCTGATTCAGAAAATTAGGAAAATACTGTTCATGTCCCTATCCTCTTTTTTTTCACAATGCAATTGTGTTATTTACACCCTATGAAGACATCTGGTCTTATAAACAGTACGGTACAGAGCTGCCATTTGAAATGATGACGGTTGCAGATGTATTTATTAAATGTTGGTGGTTATCATGTCGGCTGGTCTTAACTGTAAACACGGAAAAGTGTGTGTCTTAAAGTTCCTAGTGTGTAAGTAGGAGTGGGTGATTGAGTGGGTGAGGGAGTGGTACAGTCAGAGTCAGTATGGGTCATAAAATGCACTAAAGGGAATTGTTTATTTATCATAATCAAGCTCTTAATTTGTTACCTACCATATTGTGTGTGTGTGTGTGTGTGTGTGTGTGTGTGTGTGTGTGTGTGCGTGTGCGTGTGCGTGTGCGTGTGCGTGCGCGTGTGCGTGTGCGTGTGCGTGTGTGTGTGCGTGTGCGCTCTTATAGTGGTTGTTATGTGGAGTGATGCTGTCTCTATAGCTTCCAATGGCTAATGGGCCTTTCAATCACAACTATTGATCAGGAATCTGAGTGTCTGAGCCACCGCACACACACATAACACTGATGCACGCACAAACATACGCTCAAATCTTACTGAGCCCATGGCTTTTAATAGAGCAGTGTGACGGACATTCACAGATGTAAAAATGCGGGATTTTACTCTTGGGCTTCTGCAGACACACACACACGCACACACGCTCTCTCTCACATCACACACATGCACACACGATCACACACACACACAAACACACACTCTCCATTAATGGAAGATTGATTTATCTTTAAAAGTAGGGAACATTCAATCTCTGACATGACCTTCAGTGGAGGTCTGTGCGCTGTGTGTGTGTGTGTCTGTGTTACAGTTTACATAAGTTGTACGTTTTAAACTTTTTGTGTTTTCAAATGGGAGTGTTGAAGGTTTCCTGAGCTCTGCGGCTGTAAGGAGACAGTCTGAATGAAGGGAGAGAGACAGAGAGACAGCAGTGAGCAAGTCAAGCGTACAATGTGACAGAGAACAGATGGAGACAAACAGACTGACAGTGACATAAGCGGAGGGGAAATGCACACAACCTTGTTTAATCCCTTACGGTCCCAGAACAGCCGCCATCCTCGACCATTACCGCCAGGATCTCCTGCTTCAGTCAGCATTAGCTCAGCACACAAGTGATTACTGCAGCTACCGTAATCCCATTAAGTAACAAATCTATGTTGCATTATTCTATTACAGAACAAAACATCACATTTACATTATTTAATCAAAGACGGCATTGGTTTGCATTATGTCATTAAAGACATCGTTGGGCTGCATTAGCTCGCTGAAGATGGGTTTTGGTGTCCATTAAACATGGGGCCTGGATGGCTTGGAAATTGCTGCTCAGTAAACTCAAAAATTAAAACACATTGCACTTCAGGAGCTTTTGGTACACTGCATCACAACAACAAAAAAGAGGATCTCTTGTTGCCATGGGGAAAAAAATAATTCATGTTATTTTTGTATTTAAACTGAGGGAGAATGTTCCTGGAAGAGAAGACATTTTCTGACCCACAGTGAGAATTCATTTTTTAAAACCCACAGGACATACTCTTAGATACCTCCCAAAGCTGATCCAGATGTGTGTTGCATAAACTTCACAAACTATTTTTTAGATTTAAGTTTATAACACGTCACATTTTTTAATGATTTGGTTCTATATCAATGTTGCAGGCTTCTACAACTGCATTCTTCAGAGTTCATTTTAGGGCTTTCAGTTGATCTTTTACTTTGACAATTCAATTGTCATCATTCATCATTTACTGGTTCCAGAAGTGAAGATCTTTGTTTCTAAAATTTGGTATTACTATAAAGAGGAACAAGAAACAGTCAAATGAAAATGGAACTAGGAACTTGTGAATTGTTTTGCAATTGTAGACTAGATCATTGGTTTACATTGCTGGAGGGTGCCTGAGTTCTCAGGGGTGGCGGGAGGCTCTCTCCCTTTCATGTGGGCCCTGGGGGGGCTCAGCTTTTCTTACATGTATCAAGTAAGGGGGCTCCCAGGAAAAAAAGGCTGGGAATCACTGAACTAGACCATAAATTTAAAAAAAAAAGCATTAAAAGGGTGGATTTATTATGTATAACATCCTTAGTTCCATCCTTAATAAATCATGACTATTTTGAAATAGTCTATCAAAATCCAGACTCACTATGAACAGGTTTGGACTATCTTTAACATTATAGAAACTGAAAAGGAGAATAAAGAATATGAAACTAGATGATTCACAACAGTGTATTTGTGTTAGCTGTTGCTGTTGGTTCACAAGATTCTCCCTGATTGCTCTGAACAAAGAAAACAGATGAGCTGCTGGAGAACAATGCATTTTTTATGCTGTTGCAACATGATTTAGAAATATCTTGGAAAACATAAAAAGGTTGATTTAAGAAACATAGTTTACTTTTTTTTTTTTTTAAATGTGACATATTTTGTGTGATGCCAAAGCCTGCGAAATCTGAAGACTTAAATGTTGAATTAGTAGGCTCTCATGGCTGTAGGTTAGAAAGTGTTTTCCTGTGTAAGAGTTGTGTTGCCTAACTTTAACCAAACTGACTCTTTCATTGTTTTTTGTTGAGCACGTTACCTGTTCTTTTCTGTGTACTGTAGCTACTGATCAATTGATTTAACTGCAGTCCTTTATTTTATTTATTTATTTTTTGATTTTTGACATTTTTTCTTACATATGATTGGCATTAGAAACTGTTGACTATTGGGCACCTGAAAACCGTTGCCTTTATACAAATCTATTGGACACAGAGCAACAGCAGCAAGGGAGTTGTTTTCATGACTGACCAAATCAAAGGTCAACAATCAAGTCTCTTAACTCTGTCTTCACCAACTACTGAGAAAATTCCCGTCTCTGCAGCCCTGTGAAGGTTTTTGCACCACTTTTCCACTTGTTTACTTCACATCTCTGTCGTTTGATGGAGGTAGTTCAGCACAAATTTGTCTGATTTGTTGGTGGAAACTACAGCTCTTGTTCGGTTTGAAAAACAAGACAGTGATCTGTAAGAGGCTAAAATGTGCTTAGAGCTGCAGAGCTAGTTGTTAACACCCAATTAGCAGAAGTTGGTGCCTCATTTTAACTTTGTGTTTTATTTTCTACTGGAGACAGAGGGAGAAAAACATGATAAAAGCTGAGGGGGGAAAACGTCAAATAATCAAATTTTTTAATATGTCTGGCTCAACTCAATATCTTGAAATGTATTACTTTAGCTGAAACAAAGCTGTCGGCTGTAACTAATTTGATTTTGGAAGTCGTGTAAATGGCTTGATAAGTCTGAAGTGTGAAGACTTGAGAAGTGAAGCTCCTCTACGGCTTTTTTTCCCAGCCTTGCACGCTTGCCGAGCAGCTCCTGTAAATGACTTCTCTTACTGACAGATCTCCTTTCCTCCATCTCCCTCAGGGTTATGTTCTTTCTCTGAGCTTGTACTTTCTTAACACTAATGACTAACTGCATCCAGTGTGTAGAAAGATGTTTTTTTTATCATGTGCAGAGGTTATGTTGGGCCATTTTTAATCTTTCGACAAAAGTGAGAAAACTGACCAAAATTGTTGGTCATTTTCTGAAGCTGTTGTGTGGCAGATTGATCACAGGGTTGCTTCAAAAACTAAGGACAAGGTCACAACCATTTCTGAAGCGTACTGTGATAGAAAATAGAAAAATTAGTAGACATCTGCAAATATCTGCGAAATGTGTGTAAAGAAAAACACAGTTAGAGATTAAATCTGTAGGAAGGCACTGCAGCATTTGTCCCCTCCTACGATGCGGGATAAACTTTAAAAATGTTGTTTAATCTAGAATTCCTTGCATATTTTTGAGCAAATTTGTATTGCAGCTTGTGCTCAGCAGCTTTCAGCAATAAAATCAGATTAGTGAGGATGGTGAGAAAGTAGCCAGAACGATCATTGGGAGAAACTGACTCAACCTTTGGCAAGCATATGGCCAGTAAATCTGAGTGAACGGGTTAGCCCCTTGGAGGATGCTGCGAGGCCTCTGGGTGACATTTTAGAGTGCCAATACCTAAGATTAAAATAATATGGGACTGCTTTATCCCTGCTGCATTGTAACTGCTTCATTTGCAGACAAAACGATGGAGCTTTGTATCTACCTGAGAGTGTCATATTTTCCACTGACAATCAACTTTTATTGGACTATATGGAGCTATTGCTTCTCTAGCTATTACTTGTGTTTTTATCTTTTTATTCCATGCTGTTTAATTTTCTGTGTGTTTTATTGTTTTATTTAATTGTTTTTTATTATAGTTTTTTTTTGCATTGCATTGCATTGAATTGCATTGCAAATCCTGCCCAGAAACAAACAACAAAAATCCTTCTGGGACAATAAGGATTTAAATTAAAATGGGAATGAAGTGAAATGAAGTGAAATGA